AGACCAGAGATGGAAGCACATAAGGCGTGGGCATTGTACCAGTCTTTCTGCTCTTTGTCATATGCTGTTTGGTTATCACCTAGAGGGTACTTCTGTGCCTCAATTTCCCACATTTATCAAAGATGACAATGTAGCTTGGTTGTTAATTATAAAAATAATTTAGCAGCATTTAATTATTCTGTTGGGTTAAATTTCTTTTCTACATATATGAAGACACACATATGTACATTCATATATAGAATCCTAATATTGATATAGAAATATAAAACCTAAAACTTATTCTTTAGAATGGCAGGGCATTAAAATATTCATGCCAGGTTTTCCAATATATCAATGTGTAGGACTAGATTTGGCAAAGCGATCCTTTGTAATGATGAGTGTAATGCAGATGGATTTTAGTGGCTGTATGTGCAAATGGGGAGGGGTTGCAGTCATTCTTTGTTTTTTGGGATGAAGCAGAAAAATCTGCTCTCTCATATATGGGGGAATTTGTTAACTGCAAGGACTAAAATAAGGAGGTACTAACTAGCTAGAAACTGATATATCTCTTATATTCATATGTCACTAATATTTTAGCTTCTGAAAAAATTGTATATTTACAAAATGATATTATTTTTACTAAGTGACTTTTGGATGAATACCAGTATTATTTTTTCATTTGTAACCAAGAGTGGATTATTGTGCTTGTGTTATCTAAATAGTCTCTAATAAGTCATCAGCAGTTTTATAGAAATCTCAGGCATAAAGGCCAACAGTAAAAGAAGTTCTCCTATTCTTAAGTAAATTGGCAATGTTTCTTAACCAAGGGGTACAGCCTTCCTGTGCTATGTGACTCAGAGGGCTAGTGCAGAAGTTTTAAAAAGTATACTTTTACATCCATAATTAAAATTTATTGCTCTAATGGGCCACTATTACCAATGAGATTGTGTAACGGTGTTCTTGCGTGTTGAGACAGACAAGTTTGAAAATAAACGATTTAGGGGCGAGGTAATATCTGCATAAGAATCCACAGTCATATTCTGGTGGAAATACCAAATCATCTAAAATTGTAGCCAATAAAGCATGAGTAGGTAGAAAATAAAAAGAGAAAAATGAGTCTTTTAGTGTCTAACAGACACATTCTTCTTAATATTAGAGTTCCAGATTATTTACTTAGAAGACGTCATAAAATTTATACTGTTCAAACTTTTCCTTTCAGTGTTCTTTTTGTTCACCAACTAGTATTTTATTCTTTTCTCAGTTTAGCAGGTGGGTGTGGATAGGTGTTTTTTCACCCCACTTTAGTAAGGCAGCTTTGAAGAGTGCCAGTTGTTGGTAGTAGAATGTCCCTCTAAAAAGACACCATTTTTATGTTATTATATAAATGACAACAATGCGCAATTGCTAAAACAGTTTTGCAGAGCTTTTTATCACAGGGAATGGGGGAAGATCCTGTCCTAAATGAATCTGTCTTCCCTAAAATCTATGTTCATTTTTAGATTTCTTGTGAAAAATATGCAGATCAATATATTTTTGGTTTATAGCTTGGTGTTTACATGTTCTTGATTTTAAAAAATAAGTAAGCTTTACAAAAGGAATATTTTTAGAACAGCCTGTGTTAAAATACTGACCTCTTCCAATATTTTAAAAGGAAGGCTTCCAATAAGAATGAAATTCAGCATCTGTACCTTGAAAGGGAGGAATATTCACGTGGGCTAAGCCCATATCTACTGTAGTAAATAAAATGATCTCAGAACATATAATGTAAGGTTGTACCGTACTTTGTAGTCCATTGTTATTTCCTGTCTACCATATTCACAATTCTTTTTCATGTATTTCCTCTCAGCTAGAATAAAAAGCCTGTTGTCTGCCAGTGAAATTATTTTATCAAAGATATATAATTTCATCATCCCCATGCAGACCTTTACACCTTGATAACAAAATAAATGCTCATGACCCGGGTAGACAAAACAACTTATTGTTTTATCCTGTACATGTGAATAAACAAGTCAGATAAAAATAGAAACAGGAGAAGATGGCAATAAGGAAGAGGGACATTTTGAATATCTGTGAAGGATGGGTGCTGTAATTAAAGCATAATGTCTTTTTTTTGAAAATTTGTTCAAATGGCTTTGTCTTCTCACACGATTCACTGATGAATTATAATTAAAATATTAGAAATTTATGAAACAATAATTAGAATTGCTACTATTGATTATACAATAAAAATTTAAATTACATATACATGTTTATATACATATATGTATATATACATATATACATCTATTTTGTGCTTATATACACATATACATGCATATATCCTCTTTTTCTTTCTCAAGCGCATGCACACACTTGATACTTCTTTAAACATGTGGTTGTAGTATAGCTGCCTGGGCGGTGGCCAACATGTAGAAACATATGTAGAAACCCTTGTTACTGAGTTAATTAAATGTATATTTAAATAATTAAGAATAGAGGTCACTCTAAATTTTGTGACAACATGTAATTGATGCTATTTTTGTTCAATGAGCTTGGAATTCTATCTGTGTCCTTTAAGAAATATTCTGGAATTTCACTGTGGCAAAAACGAAGATTATTTTAATCTAACATTCTAAGCCCTTACTGTTTGACTGTGTTTTTGTATTTTTCATTTATGTATGCATTCAGTTTTCAGAGTGTCCTCAACTTTGGTGGAATTGTATGTAGTGAGTAAAATATGGGGGAAAAACACATAGCTGTCTTACTGAAAAGTTTTGATTTTTCCCTGGATTTTTTTTGGCCGTTCAGAATGTAGAGAGAACTACAGTTTCTAGAAATGAATAAATACATAATGTGCTATAAGAAAAAATCTGTTCTGTAAGTGAAATATCAGTACCTGATAGAGCATTTGTGGACTTTCTTTTTAAGCTTGCTTTTCCTAAAATGTGACAGTTTACTCCCATGTCTTCCTCCTGCCCGTTTTGCTTTTTCCACTATTCCCTGCTTCCCTCCGGAGTCATCCCCTTCCTCCTCCTCCTTCCTTGTAATATTCTATAGTCTAGAGTATAAATTTAAGATTACTCTGTGATTGAATAAATACGTTTTGTATTCTTGGGAAATTCTTTTCTAAGCACTGTGGAAATTTAGCACTGTGCCTTGAGTTGTTTTATAATCATTTTATAGAGGAAACAAATGCTAGACATCCATGTAGCTTTCAGTATATATTGATTATACTCAGTACTTGAGAGGTTTTCAGTAATTTCCAACTAGAAATTTCTTAATTGTTTATTTTGACAATGAAAAAAATGTACAGCACTTTCCCTTCCTTTGTAGTTAAATGTGTTTGCCAATACTTCCACTGGAAACATAGAGAATAGGTAGAGCAATTTAAAAAAAATATTTGGCATACTCTTGGCCTTCCTAATTATGCAAAAGAAAACTTTTTGATTTGATAAACCTAATTGGAGTTAAGAAATACTTTAAGACGTATTTTACTACCAAGTAAAACATTTTTAGTGTAATTGAAATGCTTTTTTAAGCGTATGCTTGCTTGTCTATGTATAAACAATTTATGTTTATCTTAACCTGTGAGGATTGCTTTACTAATTTTAAAAAAAATTGAATAAGCTTTTCTTTGAGAACAATATCAGAGGGGGAGATATTTTCAGAGTTAATTTCTTTGCCCATTCTAAAGCTAATGGAAGGTTTGTTTTTCTGTCAGTGGCAAGTTGTTTTATTCTAAAAATTCAGAATCTTTTGTTCTTTCAGTATACATTGAAACCATTGGTAAAACGTGTTCTTAGATTACCTGTCCCTCTCATATACTAGGAAGAAGTTACATAAATAAATAGTAGATTGTATTGTGCACTGGAGACTTACACACATATAAATAAAATTGCAGTTTAACATAGAGTTGCAATAACTCATTATTGCTAAGAATGTGGATGCTGAGGTCACTAGCTGTAACCTTGGGCCACTTAGTTGACCCCTGTTAATGGGCACCATAATTTTATGGCACTCATAGAGCTATTGTAGGAATTAATTGAGATAGTATAGTGTAAATGCATAAAACAGTTCCTGGCATGAACTTTACACTCAATTGTCTACTTTCTACATGGCTTAAAAGTGCCCAGTCAGCCGGGAAGATAGCTCAGTGGCACAGTGCCTGCCTGGTGAGCACAAGGCCCTGAGTTCAGTTCCCGGTACTAAAAAAAAAATCGAAAGTGCTCAGACAGGTGGATGAATTGCGCGTAAACAAGAGCCTTGTACTGCCTTCTGGCTATGCTTTTGCTTGCGAAGTCAGTCTAAAGGAAATATCCTTTTAACTTAAGCAATTAAACCAGGTAGCATAGGTGTGGCCCTGTCAGCTGTTTTTGTTATCCTAAACAAGAATGAATACCCTCCCTTTGTAGCTGCTCTTGGTGGATTTGAAGTCAAACTTTATTCCACAGAGACATTATGAGGGTAGAATACTAAATCCTCTTAGCATCCTTTTTATTATATAAAGCTTATCAACTAGCAGAACGACAGCCACAGTTAAGATTTAGCACTTATAGGAACTAATGTAAAATGTATAGTGATACATTAGGCCTATCCAGAACAGGAGGACTATAAAGGCACAATTTATCCCTTTTGAATTTCCACTGAAGTTATAGACGCAGATTACCTAAGGAGGATCATTTTTGAAAATAATCCTGATAATCAATGACTGCCAAGTTATTGTTATGGGTAGAATCATAGATATTTGAGTTGTTGAGGTGTGCCATTTATATTTCATTTTCAGTATTTTTCTGACAAATGGACTCTGAAATAAAACTTAGTGAGTAGTATTTTTAAACTAGAATTTATTTCAAAGACTCACATAAATAAAGCCTTTAATTATAGTTCACTGAATGAACAAGGTAAGGAATCGGGAATTTTAAATCTTGAAAAGATATACAAAACATGACATGTATTTTATTTTTTACGTCACACTGGAAAAAATAAACAGGTGCTTTTTCTCACTCCATTTGTGCTTCTGGAAAATAATGCTGCAGCCTTGGTAATTTAGCAATAATGGAAGTTTATTTCTCACACTTTTGAGTCTAGGAAGTCCCATTTCAAGGCATAGGCAAGTTGAGGGCCAGGTGAGGTTCTGTAAACATCTCCAAGATGGTGCCTTGTTGCTTTCTGCATTTTCCAGAAGACAAAGGTATTATGTCCTCCTATGACCAAAGAGAGGAAGAGAGCAAAGGTGCTTCCTCAGTCTTTTGTAATGGTCCTAATTCTATCCATAGGGAGTCTGTCCTTAAGATTTAATTACCTCCTAAAGACCTTACATCTAAATACTACTTTACTGACAGTTCAGTTTCAGTGTATTAATTTGGAGGGATTCATTTAGAACTTAGTGTTAGACTTTGAATGACTGTCAGGAAACTGTGAATCCTGTATCTATGGGAGATTGTTTCACTTAACCATTTTCCTGACCTCCCCCACTCCGTTTCCTGAATCTTCCTGCAAACCAAGTTTTTCTCCTTGGAATTACTGCTTCACTGACTTTGTTCAAGTATCGTTTGGATGTGTTCGGGTGGCAGTTCCCCATAGTTCAGCCTTACAGACACAGCCAGCTGCTGTGAAGCCTCTGACATCACTCTGATTCCCTTTCTTTCCTGGCCACTGTAGCTGGTTTCCAAATCACGCAGGTATTGTCACTCTTCACTGCTTCCCTTCCTTTCCTTTGGCACTATAGGAACTCTCATGCCCTCATGTTTTCCTGGGCAAAATCCTAAAGTAGCATTGGAACTTGCTATCCAATTCGTGCCTCTCTCTGCCCATACCAGTCAACTGTACTTAAGGGTGGCACTTAAGGACCACTAACTGCAATGGCCCCAGCCTAGATTTCCTACCTACCTTGTCCCGATTCCATACAAATAGCCTCATTAGAAACAAACTGGGCCACTAATTCTTCCTTCTTATGATCCATGCTTGTTTCTTTTTCCTTGTGTTTTCACTTTTTATTCCTTTTGCTCCCCCCTATACCGCTTTTCAAACCTCAGGCAAGGGGAAACTCAGTTTCACACTTTTCCACCCATACTTAGCATGATGCTTGTCTAGTGACCAGTAAGTAACTATAAGCTGCATTTGGAATGCGTTCATGGTCCTGGGGTATTTATACTTTTTATTTAAACTGAAAAGCACTTTATATTTATTTTTGTATGTATAGCCATTTGCACAGTGTGAATGATTATAATTCTTTAATTATCTTTCAAGCAGACTATACATTACACATCTACCGTGTGTATTATATATACCGTTGCTTATGCTTGTAGCTAGCATATGCTTACTAAATACTGTAGAATAAATGTGCAGAAAGTTGATCTCAGTATATGTTTTAAATCATATACATGTATTATATATGAATGACCTATATATTTGGTCTATGATTTACAGTATAATATATAATAAAACATTCATTGTTAGCATTTTTCCACTTATTATAGGAAGAAGATCCCTTGATTTCCTTTATAATGTTTCAACTTCTACTGTATCGTCAGGAAAACTTCAAGACTTTGTTTTGTAATTGATTGAATGGACTTAAAAAGTTGTTATCTGCTGTTTGATTAAGAAATGGATTTTTAGTGATCATAATGCTTGAAAATTTACATAGTATAAATGAAATGGGCATTCCAACCGTTTAAACAAGTATACAAATTCTATAATATGATGGAATAATAGGAAAGGTTTTTTTTTTAAAATATTAGGGCAGCTAAATATATCAAAAATAAGTGGGAAGTTTGTTGCTACTATCATTAAATATGTTACTACGCATTGATAAAATCAAGTAAGATGTGGTATAGTACCATTGGTGTTTTAGAATAACTGGAGAAAATAATCTATAAAGTATTTCAGCAGAACATGGATTACCTGTTTGAAATCTCAGTAGCACAAAACTTATGACCTGAATTAAAAAGAATATCAATAAAGGAAAAAAATTTAAAAGAAGGCAAACTGAATTTCTATTCTTGCATTTCAGGTGAGAGAGCTACATTTTCCTTGTATTTTTCTTCTCATTACTGTAAAAAAATCCCATAGAAACAAGTCTCTGTGCAGCTCCAAGTGCCCCCATTCCGTTTTAGATGGTATTTCCAATAAGGGCACTGTTTCTTGCAAAGAATATTAGATCTCACTAATTGTCCTACAAATCCCATTCTTAATTAAAATCAAAATCTTCATCATAACAACTTTACTATAGAGCTTGCAAATATGTGTTCTTCCTTGTTTGTTTGGAGGATGATGCTCTGGATACATCTTTTATTTATTTTTTCTTTCGGAAAGGAGCAGCCCTGGTGAGAAAAATTTACAGCAATTGATTTTGTTTGTTTGTGGCTGTAGCCATAAAAACTCCCAAGCAAAACTAAATAGTGCTTGTGGGGCATAGGCATAGTGGTTCATGGGCAAACAGTAAGCTTTATAATACCGATAATGCTAGACAGTAATCCAAGGTAGGGTAGTTCCGATTTCATCATTTCTCTATGCTTTGTACTGAATTGTACACTCCATCATGCATATGCTGGCTATAATGTGACATATTTAATTCTGTATTTAATCTCTGCTTTGTTACTCAAGCACAAAAATGGCAAAGGAGCTTCTCAAATGCCGTGTACCAGCCCTCTAACAACAACAACAACAACAGCAAAATTAAATACAAAATAAATTGAATAACAGTAATGGTGGGAAAATCTATCCCAGGGTTCATTCTTTATACAGGGAGTTGGCAAACTAGGAAGAATAGACTTTGTCATGTGCAAATATGGTGACCATAAATGGTACTGGAGGCATTTTCCATTGTCCTCTGAGTTTGCCATGAGAGAAAGCGGGTGAGAGGAAGAAAGACACGTTTGATAGAGTTGTGAAGAATGTTTGAATGGCTATTGGGTGTTGAGCATTGTCTCGAAGTGACCTCAATTCGGTACAGTAGAGACCCTTGAAAGCACTGTCTGAAGTCACAATACCACTATTCTCCTCCATTTAGTAAAAGGGATTAGTTAAAAGGGTGACGTTCCGTGCAGAGAGTTCCAAGTATTCCATGAAACAAAAGAGTCTGAAATGTTTTTGAAGTTATTTTTAATTGAGTTGAACTAATTTAATAAAGGTCCTACGGAGGAAAAAAAAATAAAGGAATGTGATTGTTTTATGATTCCTCACAGATGGAATGGACATTTATAGCATACTTTTCCTTTAGTGTTCCAGAGAACAGTAGCTCCATTTACAGCTACTGTTAGCAATTTAAAACTGCTCCAAAATGAAGTCTTTCAAGAAGTTGACAGCTTATAAATAAATCTGTCTGATAAAATTGAACATAAACTGCATCTGTGGTTAGTTTGCCAAAATTAATTCTACATTTAATTAGAGATAGCAGTCAAACATATTTAATAAAAAACAGTCTTGGAGAGTAAATCAAATGAAGTCAGATTTTAGCAGACGTTTTGCATTTTTTTTTTTTTTTTGCAAAGAGTGATGAAATGACCTCACCTCTCTGATTTCCAGTTATATGGCAGTGTGAGTTCTGTAGAGTTACAGGGAAGCCGATGAGTTCACACTATTTGGAAGGACTCCTTGCTCAGCTTAGGGTAAAGAGAGAAAACGATCATTTTGTAATTTCTCTTGATTTCATCATTGGGTTTTTACTTTGATGCCATATGTATTAAACTCACACATAATAAGCAAATTATTGCTAATAATTCGAGAGACCAGGCAAAAGTAATCCTAACCTACATATGTGCAAGTAAATGGAATTGTCCTTAAATTAAAAAAAAAAAAAACAAACTTCTGGCAATATTTGAGTTTATAAAATACACAATCACTGCAGTGAGATGTATTAAAATTATATGTTAGCTACCATGCCATTTTTTCCACTGTAAAGAAAACTGGCTTTGCTTATCAAATATTTGTCCTCACTCTGCACGATTTAAGCAATGTGATATAGTTCTGGAATCCCAGGAAAGACATAAAAACACACAGATCAATGAAAATGCAGCAAACAATATTTTGGAACAAAAGTCACTTATAGTTCAAAGGGCAAAGAAGCAGATCTTCAAACATTGGAAGTTTCAACACACAGTTCAAAGTCCTGGGTGAAGTTTACGGACAATAGAAACCAACATCAGCAATAAAATCCCATGTGGATTAAAACAAAAAGTGCCTCCATAAATGCACACAAAAATTAATGTCAGATTAGGCAAATTTTATTTTGATCTGTTTAAAATGTGTGATGTTACTTTCTACAAATGTGGGAGAATTGAAGAAATACTATATTGCATCATCATGGAGGATAACTTTACGGTTCTTAGTAACATCAATTTTAGGTTTGACATTAAGCATTTATGTATTAAATGCCACTATGGCCTTAGCATTGCAATCACAGAGATGATTAATCTATATTAAATATGTTTCCAAAATATACACATATTTTGGTATTATGTAGTTATTGACACAACTTCTGAATAGAATAAATAAGTCATCTTTTCAGTTCTTCAAGTACTATTTAAATGTTTTGTCTTTTCAAATGAGTATTTTTATTTTATATATATTAATTCATCTTCCTGGTAACTTTTTATGAAAATTTTATTGAAAGACAGGCTATACATAGAAGAAAGTTATTAAGTATCAAGTATCACAAAAGGAAGAATTGACCAGTTCAATTATACTAACTCAATCGTCAATAGCACATCTCAAATGACTGACTGACCTTCTTAATTATACATGTGTACAAGTATATGCATATATACATAACCATATCTATAGTTAAGGAGTATATGTCTATGTATATGTGGATATACATATACATGGTTAAGGTTATTAGTCCTGTTTGTATATATATATAATTGCCCCCCCAAGCATTGGTACATGCACACACACACAGTACCCCTTAAAACAATGTTTGTAATAAGTGGTTTAAAATAGTAAGTAGGAAATTTGTATTTCATGCTATTGTAGGCCTAGACTATCATCAATAAAACTTCCTGTATGACCATGAAATGACTCTCTTTTATTAAATAAAAAATTAACAAGAACTAAACACATTCTTAATTTATGAAACGTGAACATTTATTTATCATTACAGTATCACATTTTGTAGACTTTTGGAAAATAACTTCTTAAAATTTTTTATTCAACTACTTTCTTATAATTTATCAAATGTGTGTTCTCAGTAGTGTTTGTGATCTTGTCAGAAAAGACCTTGCGGTAGAGCAAATTGGTTTTATCTTGGGCAAGTCACTTAATCTGGGTGAATTAAGTTTACTTCATGAACATATTGACCAAATGCAATCTACAGCAGCATCTTGATCTTGAATTCTACAAATAGAGCATTTCTACCCAGCCTACTATTTCTGCTACCTTAAACACATGCTATGTGTTTCCATGATTTTGGGTTTTTTGGTTTTTTTTTTTTTTGCCAGGAATCGAACCAAGGACCTTGCACTTGCCAGGCAGGTGCTTGTGCCACTGAGCTATATTCCTGGCCCATGAGTTTGGCTTCTTGAGGGGCCACTGAACAGAGCAAAACTAGTGGAAAAGGAGCACAATTTGCATGTGAGCATAGGTGCAGTATTCACTGTACCACCAGAAGTCAAAGATTATGATATAAAGTAAGGGAGGAGAGTTGAAGCTCTCAAAACCTTGAAACAGAAGCACTAAAATATAACTTTTTCTATTTAGAATTCTTTTAATGAGACTAAAACTTGTCATTCTGTCCTTACTACGGAGTTTGAGAAGTTGGGGTAAGAAAAGCCTAATAAATTGCTGCTAATACGTACTGCAAAGGTATATATCCTAGGATGGCTAAATGAAGTTTTCCTAAGAAGCCTTGTAGTTCCTTGGTATGAATACATGGGGCATGTAAGGTTAGGGCCTTATGGCGGGCATAGAAAATGCTCTTAAGCAGCAGTACTTTCACCTTACCTGAGGCTGTCATCATCTGTCACAGTGTATGGCCCTGTGTTCTCCTGAGTAGGCTCCCTGCCTCTTGCCTCTTGTTAGAAACCTATTTATTGCATTAATGCTGCCGGTTATATTTTAAAAACACACCTCTGTTTATGCCATCTTCCTGATCGAAAAACCCTTAATGACTTGCACTTACCTACCGTATATACTCTAAATACTCAGCTAGGTAAATAGCTAAATATTCCAGACGCTTATCTATCTTACCCAACAGAGCCTTGCAGCCTCCGCCCGTGAAGTTTCTCACCCTGTTCAGGGTGTGCAGTCATCCATTCACACACTCCATAACTATGGTTCAGATGCAAAAGCTGAAACAAACATCATTTTTATCAAGCTTTCTTTTTTCAGGCACCTCCATCCTTTTTGTAGTAACTGTACTATAAAGCTGCTATATGGCCTTATGACTTTCCCCTTCCTTAGCTGGAGTACTTCCTTGTCACCTTTTTAAAATGTTTTTATTTCTTAAATATCTACCACAAAGCACAGCATATAAAAATAACCCAATGAAAGTAAACTTCATAAGACAGTGAAATGCAAGTGATAGAGAAGATTTATTTTGTTGTCACATGTTTTATAGAAGTGATTCCATGTATATGCATATAATAAATACAGAAGGTATGCAATTTTTCAAATTCTAATCATCTATTCTATGCATTGCAACTTAATGAGAATACAGGTTTTAGTTCTATATGGATTTTGCCATTATTTAAATATTTTCAAATAATTCTTAAGATTTTTCAGAGCTTATATATTTAATGTAACATTCAGAATTGCTGTGGTATGTTGTTAAGATTTTAAATTGCCATTTTGAAGCCAAAACTGAGAGTATGTATATATATATATACCTTTCAAAGAGAAGTACCACCTTCTATAAATTAGTAATTCCTATTAATTGCCTCAAATGTTTGAGTCTCATGTGGATTTTTGAAGCTGTGTGCAGCTTTGATGTTTTATTAATTATTTTCAAGGTGGCTTTCTTTCCAGAGTGTAGCGTACATATTGATTTTGTGTATGATGAAGACTGAAATTTCTATCTTGGCACTGATACTCCTTGCAATCAGATCTAGAAAGGGTTTGATCGCTTTTAAGCAACTCTCCAACAGTTAACTGTTGGCTGCCAAAGTTCAATTTAGATAAGTGAAGGGGAAGAGTTTAGAAATTTCACACATTAAATGTGTGATGGGAAAAACCCAATATAATGTATTAAAGATGCAGCCTTTGGAAGGCAAACATGGAGTATCATAAGAATTGTGTGCCAGTCTCCAAAGGTTTTCAGTCAGGTTTGGTTCAGAAAAGCCCTTGAATGTGTTGGAAGCAGATCTTGGAAGGGGATGTGTGGTGTGTCAGGGAAAGCACCAGAGTAAGTCTTGGTTACACATAGACTGTAAAGTCGACTGTAGTAGCATGACAAAAATTGGTCTGTGTAGTTTGCCACTGCCAATCTTCATGATTGATACAGATTGTTGGAGCCATATCTATCATATGGTGCTCCATATTGATTGTTAAAATCTGTAAAAGTGAATTATTTGGAGTGTATTTTTCCATAGCTTTGGCTAGTTTTTCCTGTGTCAGAGAGTCATAAAACATTTGACCTTCATCCTCAATTCTAAGTTGTTACCAGTGATTGAAAGAAACAATGTCATTGTTTACTCGTAGGACCTGAAGAGTGGTTTAGTAGTCTAAGTTTTAGGAAAATGGTAATGATAGCTTTGCATTTGAGAAGCCTTTGTATGAAAGGTTCTCATAAGTTATTTATTTTTGTTTTTAGGAATGAATAAGATTTAGAAAATATTACCTAGATTTTAAGAAAGAGAAGTAGAAGTCTCATGTCAAATAAACTCCTTCAGAGAGCTTTCAGACCTACCTACCATTACAAAGAAGGTAGGACACACCTTTGGGATGATTTTAGTATCGGAACTAGTCCTGTTTATGGGCAGAATCCAGATGCAATCACTTGACTATAAAATGCTTCAGACTTTTTCAAATTGAAAATATCCTGCATGATTTTAAGGAGCAAGTAACAGAGTTTCCTTTAAGTCACCTATAATGTTAGGATCATTATAAAGTAAGCACCCAGAATTCTGGATTGTGCTGTTGGAAAGAACCCACATAAGCATGAAAACAGATGGTATTATAATTCTGTCCTAAGCACTGTGCGGATTTTTTGGTCAGCGTCTGATTGAAGTTTCTGAAATTATTAAGTGGGTAGATAATAAAGAATAAGCAAATGAGAGCAGAGAGTCCTTGCCAAGTCTTTAATGCTCACTTAAACAAAACTGCCTGAAGGTTCAACAAATCCAAGCTTGTGTTTTGTGGCTTTATAAGGTCCCTCTCCAGAAAAAAAAAAAAAAAAATGAGATGATGGTCACCGTTTTAATTAGAGGAATATCAAACTATATGTTTATAAAGATGATAATAATAAGCCACCCAAATCCAGATGCAAGATGCCACACATGTTGGAGAAGGGCTATAAGAAGGAAAACACAAAAACCAAACCAAACCAAACCCTCCTCATTCTCCAAGCTGGGTTTAAATTAAACCAGTAAAGGAAAAGTTATGACCATCTTCATATTTTATCTCCAGCAGTCTTCCTCCCCTCTCGGCTTACTGCGCACCTAATTATTAACTATCTGCATTTCCTCCTCCCTAATTGCTGACTTCATTTCTTTTTATTTGCTGACATCACTCTGTAAAGGGAAGCAGCATCTTGCCTGTTTGCGTGTATGCATTTGTAGCTTCTAACTGTGTATTTTGTATAATATCACATATTAGTGTAATTGTAACTTAACCTCCTTGAGTTCTTTGAAAAATAGTTCAGAGTGAAGCAGTTCAGGAAAAGCCATACAAAAAAACAAAACTCAAGTCATGAGAGTCAGTGATTACTTTTAGTTTGATGCTAGTACACGATTTGAGCTCTGAGTTTGCATATTTCAACTATATTTTCAACATTTAAGAATGTGGTTAAACTATGTTTTTAAGGTACAATTTTTAAATTAAAATAATAAAATATTTCTTTATTCAGGTGAGCAGTTTGCAGTTATAGTTCCCCTTCCCATCTGTCTGAAGTTTTACAGTGACTGCCACAAGAAATAAATATTATTTTAAAATTTTTTCCTAAAGGTCAGGTGACGTAGATCATAGATGTCTTGTGTGAAAAGGGAAGATTTTTAAATTTACATTGCCATTTATGAAACTGAAATATTGGCAAATATATTCTTGATTTTTAAAAATAAGATCTATGTGATAGAATATGAGGAAAATCTGCTGGTCCTATTTCTGACTGGAATGGACTATTAATGAAGTAAAAGGACTATCATCAGCAGGAATCTGGCCAATTCATATTTGAGGAATAAAAAAGGTAAAGAAATCCAATGATTACAAACCTAACTTCCCAGGTCATGCAGTAGAATTATCATCAGGATTTCTGAGTAGGGCATAGAACTTTGGAGAGATGATATAAATGCTTGAGATGAATGATGAAGTAATTTAAAAGAATGGTTTGAAAAGCTTAGCAAGTTTTATTTAGCCCTGTGTTATTCAACTTTAAGCCAGTATAATGAAATACCTGTTATAATCAATTCACAGAGAGAAAAGGTTTACTTTAGATCTCAGTGATAGAGGTTCCGGTGCACAATCCATTGGGCCCATTGCTTTGGTAGTGGAGTAAGGTAGCACAGTGTGGTGGGCACGTGTAGAGGAGCAAAAGCATTCACCTAATGGCCAGGAAATTAAAGAGGGAAAGGCCGGGGGCCCCATAGTGTCTCCTCAAGGGGATGCCCCGGTGACCAAAGGTCTTCTCATAAGGGCTGGCCTCACACAGTCTGTTACTTCCTTGGAGTATCACTCCAGCCCAAGCCTTTACCACATGAACACTTGTAGGACATTCAAGGCCCAAAATATAACAAACATGAACAAGTTTTATTCATGTGAAAAAATGTAAACTTCTGAAATTGAATATTGAGCTTTTTACTTTTTGAAATGTACAGAAATAAACACTGAGCCTGACACCAGGTTTGTGCGGGAGTAAGGTAAATTTGGGCTAAACGACTGATGCACTGTTTAGGTATAAACATTAGATTCCATATTGCAGCTATCTGTCATTTTTCTTGTCATTAGTCAAGTAGATTCTAAAGTGTACAGCAATGTCTAACTCTAATGTAGATTTTATAATCATTTCTCATAACTATTCAGGTGCAGGTGGTGGTTTGCCCTCATTTCAGATTATGAAATCATCGTTCACTGTATTTCTGCAAAATTAAAGTCCAAGTACATATAAGTGTGTTTGGATCTGTTGAATTTGATATCATGTTTGACATGTTAGTGCGACATTACTGAAGTGACTGATGGAAGGTCAGGCACATTTATTTTCTATTTGGAATTTAAAGAAATTTAAAGAAAACAAATGAATTAAGAAAAGAAAAACGAGAGCAGTGTCATTGTACTGAACTGATGCTTTACCTTGTCTATGCCGAACTTTGATAGGCTAAGCAAATATTAACATATTTTACTATGAATTAGCAGGTATTTATTGTCTTTAAGTTAAATTGGTAGTGTTTACTTTCCAATGAACCAATTTTACTTTAAGTCCCATAGATTCAAAGCTTGAGGACATTTTTGAAAAGAATACATAGTGTTTTATATTAATCTTTATTTTAAATAGATCACTCTTCAAAAGTCATTCTGAGAAGGCTCATGCTTTAAAAATGAGCAGTGAAATTTATTGATTATCCAAAAAAGACAGCTTATTAGACTCCCTGAGATTTTATCAGAAATTTGTGCATAAGTCCTTTTACATCTTCTACTGTTTCTTTTTGATCCAGTTAATTCCTCTGTATATTAATTGTGAAACAGCCAAAAGCTAGAAGCAAGCAGAAACAGGCAATAAATATGTACTGTCTGTTCCTTCTGTGTGGTTTGACACAATTTCTTAAATTCATTGTGTATTTCTCTTTTTCCTCTTAGAAGATAACATAAGTGTGTAATTGGAACACTTGTGTTAGGTAAAAGAAAAAAAAAAAAAAGAAAAAGAAAAAAAAAAGGTCTAAATTTGAATCCCTATTGAAAAATCAGGGTTTCTAATAGTACAGATTCAAAAATGATAGATGGTCCTTCAGGGACCTTGAAGTATTTTCATGGATTCTTATGCCTGGTT